CGGAGGACACCCGAGACGGTCGGAGCGAACTCGCGGCTGGTAGCGATTATTCTGTTTGAGGCGTGGTAGTTGTCTGGCTGCTTGGGATTTTTTGAGGGCTCAAATGAGAGGTTGAAAGAACACGGTGGAAAGGTCTGTGGCAACAGGTCTGTTCCTGAGGGCCGGTTTGGCAAACGGTCTCAGTCTGAGGAAACGTCTGGTCATTTGTGCACAAGAACCTTGGTTGGTGTCTGCGGGGAAATATCAGGCAAAAATGAGGGGGTTTAACGCGGCGAGTAAGTCACATGCGGCAACGTGGTTGCTGGGAGTGCTGGGAGTGCAGGTGGACTGTGGGACGGTGTGTTGTGAGTCTGCCGGTGCGCGATTGACGGTGGGGAGTGAGTTACGCAATGGTGTTGCGATGAAGGTGCCGCCGGCGTTTTTCTATCAACCAAGATTCGGTGTTGACTGGATGTCAACTCGGTTGTTCTTGTGCATTGCGTTGCAGTGTGTGGACCGTTTGGCTAGTAACGAGACACATGTGCTACGTTCGAAAGACCAGCTGCTTTTCCGGCACTGTTGCCGCCAACCGATTGTCGCCATCGATCCGAGACACACTCGCTACGTCCGGCAGGAGGCCGCGGATATCCCGGAGCGCCTTCGCCTGAGGCAGCTGGTCAGCCCGGGCCAGACGCAAGACGAGCCGCCTCAATTCGTGTTGGAGAGTCTGCCGCCGCGGGAGGAATTTCCACTTTTTGAGGACGTTCGGGAGGAGCGCACACGTGTGCGTCTCGCGCAAAAAGCTCTGCGCGACTTCGCAGTCGCCGGACGGGTCGACCAAGGCGGAAGCGGGGGCGACGCGCCACCGCCCTACCGGGTTACGGATCTTATGAGTGTGCTCGAAAGCACTTTCACCACTTTCGCCCAACTCCGGGACGCCCTTGTCTCTTCGTATGTCGAACAGGGCCCCTCCGGTGATTATCGTCAACAGTTCTGGGTCGGTGCCTGCCGCCCGTACCTGCACTGCGACCAGGACGAACTCCACGTGTCTGACACGACTCGTCTCCTAGCGGCGCAACGAGGAGCCAGAGGCCAGTCGCTGGGCAAAGATGCCGTCTACTGCACGCGTTGCGTTCCCCGAGTCATCCACGATCTGGACGGACCCGGTTACCTCCCATTGGACGAGAGCGACTGGGACTCCAGCGGCTTGAGCAGCACCGACCTAGGCAGGCGAACTTGGCTTAACGAGATGCGAAACGTCAAATACATTTTGCGTACAGGCGCAGCCACACAAGTGAATGTGTGGAGGCATACCTTGCCTTGGACGGCCACCTGCATACCAAAGACGGGTGCACTTCCGTTATCACCCGAAGGCAACGAGACCATCCTACAGACGATAGCGACAGCCATCGCCGACAAGCGGCTGATTAATTTAGGAGTCATGTTACAGTATTATCGACTCTCACGAAAAATGGTAAAGACAATCAGACTACAGATTGAGAAATTACTTAAACTTGTTGCAACCCAACAATGGGAGGTAAGAAAGGGTTACTCGCGTGGTGTCCGTAAGGCAGCCTCCAAAGGTTGGTTCATCGACTCCTATGATCAAGTCTACATTATGATTTCTCCGCCAACCGATATTCTTGATAGGAAGACTAAGACTGCTGCTTTTCAAGTAGTGCTGACACGAGACTGTCTCAAAAGCCACTCACAAGAAGATGCCAATAAACGCAACGAAGAATTCTTCACCAAACTTTCCGTCGACGCCCACTCCGAGAGCGAACCTGTGTGCCAATTCACACACGCCAGCGCTGCATGTTTCGTCTAAGTAACTGGATGCACCACCTGGATGCACCCCCCACTCTTTTTGTTTCTATAAATGTCCCTAGAAGGGTGAGTCAGTTCTATGCAAGCTGGGTGAGTCAGTTCCATCGGCATAGTTGGTTGGTTATTTTTGTTGCTCTCGAAGAGCCTCTTCTTGTCTTTGAAGAGCCTCTTGCTGGAAAAGAAGACGTTTGGGTGGAATATCGACGGTGGCTATTAACACGTCTCGAACGGTGGCTGCAGCGGAGACGACTGTGGTTTTGGCGTCATGAAAAAGCGTGCCACGGTCTCGGATTGCAGCCACAGTGTCAGACATTGTGTCTCTAGCCGCGCGCATCTGCGGAATGGCAGTGCCCACGTAACTCGTGGCGACGTCGATGGCTGCCTTCGCGTTTTGCGCAGTCGCCTGAATTTGATCCTTGGCGGAGTCTCGCAGTTGTTCGATGGCCTGTGTAGTGCTGCGGCTGCCGAAGTTGAACAGCCGCATCATCTTGAACCAGTTCTCTTACCACACATTTTCCTCCCCCCCAACAATTCCCCCCCC